CTTCTTCCAAAGACTCGATCCATTGTGCGTCGTTCGCTTAGAAGTGCATCTAGACGATAAAGTGGATTACATTTTGCAATGAGGAACCACTATTTCTGGCTCATATTAGAAACAACATATGTGCCATTGATTTCCCTATGAAGATACGTGCTTTTATGGGAGAGCCAGAGATAGTGGTTCCTTGCTGCAAAATGTAATCCCAAGTCATTGTATGCAGCTCCTAGGAATTTGACTGGAACTGAGCACAATACTTAAAAATCGCTGTACAATTTGACTGTGCATTTTGCTGGAGGGACATAGGCGAAGCCTGGGCTCCCCCCTCTCCCAGAAATCTGCTTGGCCCCTTCCAAGAAATGTAGGAAACTTTGCTACATGAATGCGCGACATATTTTTCACCTTTTAAATTTTACAACGATCAATTTGTCGGTGAGAATAGCTCAAAATTTCTCTTAAGACGACGTGATTTTTTTGAGGCTTTTGAGCTGGAGGATTTACACAGAAACCCTTCAATGGGGTGTTTTTAGTGTCTCCTGGGCCTTCCTCTAACCATAAAAACAGGATGGTATCAGTTTCATGCCGTATTATATGAATTTCGAAGTCAGCGTCTCAGAAGTTTCTTTCTTACTTTCGTTGCACGTATCACGAACTTCTATTTGCAACCTTGAAGGGAAAAAGGGGAAAATAGCATGAGCGAAATTAGGGGGAACCGAAGGTTGCCTGCCCCCCAGCACTCCACTTGGCCCCCTGGAGCTTTACTTGTCCCCCTCCCCCTTCTTCCAGAAATCCTTTTTATCCCCTCCAGAAAACTTGATGGATATTCCAACATGAGAGCGTGGCATACGAGTATCTTTCATCTCTGAGATTGTATTTCAATCAACTTTTTGGTAAGAAAAGGTCAAGATTTTTGAGACAAATCAATTTTTCAAAAATTTTACGGCGAGGCCCCCTGGACCCCTTGTGGGGCTGTGGAAGGCCCTCTGAACCCCTATTCGGAGCTAATATTTCCTTCGAGTTCGACCCCCTCGTTGGGGTGTCTTTCTATGTCCCTAAAATCCCCGCATCGAGGCACCCTCCAGGGCCCCCTCCACGAAAAGTTCTTAGTTTCGCCCCTGAAAAAGGGGGATAATGTTCATTTCAGATTCGGTGCATGAGATATAAGACACACTAATCCTTCTTGTAAACTAATTTTCACTGGAAAAATAATTATTCCTCACGTAAGTGAAAGACCGGTTCCGATAACACACATCTCCCAGTCAGTGCTGCCAAGCTGCGAGGAAAAAAGAAAAAAACTGACAAGTTCGATTTTAAAAAACCGCCGATATCCGGCCAATTTTTTTCCCCCTGTCTCGACAATAGTGAAATCGATGAATAAGGACCGAGACAAAAAGACGTGCGAGGTGTGACGGGGCGAAAATGAAGCGGCGTCAACGGTTCGCGGGCAGATGCTCCGGCATAAACAGCGTATCTCCGTGCGATTCCTATTGCGGTTATGCGGTTCTGGTTTAGCGAGGCGAAGATGCTGACGCATACAGAAGCATATGCATAATATGAATGCGACGGTCATTGATCATGCCAACTGGACGTATTTCTGCCGAACGGAACTACGTGCATTATGACGTGAGCCGTGTTATGCATGTCTTCTTGTGGGTCTCGGGGCTCATGTCTCCATGCACATAGTTCCGTTTGGCAGAAATACGTCCAACTGCCTTCAAACGGGCCAATCAATGTGCAAATTTCCCCTGACCGCGCGAACTGCAAGCGCACTCCCCACCGGCTGATGCGCCTGACACCTGTCGCCGTGAGTTTGTGCCGGAAGAATGAAAGTTAATTCCCGATTTTCTTTACGATCTATTCATCGCCAGGAAACCAAAACAGCGGCAATGAGTATTTTACCGCTTAATTGCTACTTTCATACTCGCTTGACGGATATTATCATTCAAGAGGAGGGTTAATTTAATTGTTTGCCCACATCGAGACTTGCGCGATTTCAAAATCTCGAGAGGTTCTTTGGGTAGCATAGCAAGCATAGGCGGATCGAAGGGGGGTAGCCTCCCCCCCCCCCTTGCACGCCCGAAAAAACAAGGAAGAGAAACTGAAGAAAGACGGAAGGGACGGAGGAGACGGGGAGGAAGGACGCTTAAAGGTAGTTATTCATGTCAAAATTGTCTGAAACTGCATATAATAGATGCTTTAAAATTTCGAAAAGTTTCTCGGGGAAGCCGTCGGACCTTCTTTCTGCTCCCTGCTTTCAAAGGGTATGGATTCGCCGACATGATAGTAAGCCACTCGGAGTAAACTTCGCAAGGGTGGCGTTCAGTGGGGGTCTTGTTCGGGGATAGCAGGGAGTCTCTTGGATTCAGGGTTGAGACTCTTCAAAAATTTGGCAAGAAAAATTCCTCTCGATTTAATCGGATTTTCGCTTGAATCGAAAGGAAATCCGCTAAAATTAAGAGGCTTGGCTCTCGATTCAAGCGCAAATCCGATTGAATGAGGAGTTAATTTTCTTGTCAAATTTTTTAAGAGTCTCGATTCTAGATCTAAGGGACTTTTTTCTCGATTACTCCTGCGCTTATAAAATTTGACGTCTCATTTTATACGTTTTTGCGTGTATTCCGAATTTTTTTTAGTTGCACCCAACTACAAGCAACCGTCAGCTCCTGCACTTGTAGCACATATTGGATTCGAGGATTACGTGACGCGTTTGAGAGAAAGGGGAGGGAGGGAGGTCTGCGACAATATGCTTCACGTAAAATATAATCTTAGAAGTTCACGTGAGATATCGACGGTGAAACTACCAAACCACGTATCTCGTTTGCGGTGTTTAAAAATCTACGCTCACATTTTATTTTTTTGAAGTAGACCAAATCAATATCATTCCTTGAAATTTTCACAGAATTTTCTCCGCACCAAGAGGAAAAATCACAGAAATTTTCAAGACTGGATGTTAAGTAGTTTTTCATTTAAAAAATAAAGAATGACAGGAAGTCTGCGACGTCGCAAACCGAGATACGTGGTTTGGTAGTTTCACCGTCGATATGTTATGAAATAGGTATCAAACATTTATGAGATACATAGGTTGTCCCAAAAGTACTGCACGTTTTTTTATTTTGGACGAACGGTAGCAGATATCAAAATGCGGTTTGTGTAATCTTAAAGACAGAGCAATTACCGATAAAACAACACAAATCCGAGCTCTCTAAGTCAAAAAATGACCAAGTTACAGGGTTTTGAAAATGGCTTCCAGAGGGGACCCCTACGGAAATTTTAGCCTCTTTTCTGGGGGAAAAAAAACAAAGATTTAAAGATTAAAGATCAATTGGTTTTATTAAATCAATTTTACACAATCTTACCAAGATTACTGGCATTTAATCCTCTTCACTTGACGACTGGACACTGGTTTCCTTCTCAAAATACCTTCCATCGCTTGCCACACAGCGCCGCAACCGTTCTTCCCACTTCTTCAAACATGTTTTTTCTTCTTGCCTGATGTTCTTCAAGAAAGTTTCAACAGCTCTCTCTATCTCGTTGATGGAGTTCAATTTCCTGCCTCTTAAGCCCTTTTTCAGCGTAGGGAATAACCAAAAATCGCAGGATGCAAGGTCCGGGCTGATATCATGTTGCCAACTTCATTCGATCGCGATGATTTCTCTGTAGAATTTTTGATTAATCAAATCTTTGTTTTTTCCAGAAAAGAAGCTAAAAATCCTGGAGTGGTCACCTCTACAAGTCATTTTCAAAACACTGTAACTTGGTCATTTTTTGACTTAAAGAGCTTGGATTTGTCTTGTTTTATCGGTAATTGGCCGGTCTTTAAGACTACACAAACCGCATTTTGATATCTGCTACCGTTCGTCTAAAAAAAAAAAACAATCAACTCTTTGTTTTTTTCCCGGAAAAGAAGCTAAAATTTCCGTAGGGGTCCCCTCTGGAAGCCATTTTCAAAACCCTGTAACTTGGTCATTTTTTGACTTAGAGAGCTCGGATTTGTGTTGTTTTATCGGTAATTGCTCTGTCTTTAAGATTACACAAACCGCATTTTGATATCTGCTACCGTTCGTCCAAAATAAAAAAACGTGCAGTACTTTTGGGACAACCTATGTACATATTTCAAATTGCAGCTCACCGGCAAAACTTTAAAAAGTAATCTGAAACGCCGTCGATATAGCTCGAAGATGCTTTTTGATGTACATATACTCATTCCCTGTGAAACAAGTCTCCCAGATGATGTCCCGAATTTTACGGTCGCGTGAAATGACTTACATGTATCATTGCACTGAAATGTTCGAACTATTATACCTAGTTTGCTTTTGTTGCAGTTCACCCTGCATCTCATCTTCATGGATGCAAAATTCTTGCAAGGTTAACATTCCGACAGAGGCGCCATTTCACCCAAAACCGAGGTAAAATTTGCCTTAAAAGGCCGGGAGAAACTCTCAACATATCTCAAATTGAACAAAACTACCTTACAGATACTTATGGTACTTAAATCACGGATTTCCTCTCAACCCATTCTTTATGAATGCATAATTCCTGCAAGAGGTTGCGGCGGTCAATCAAGGGCGCCATTTCACCCAGAACAGAGTGAAAGACTGCGGTAAGGGGTAAAATTTGCTTTAATAGGAGAGCAACACTTTTAACATATCTGGAACTGAAAAAAAAAAATTCCCCAACGCAAGATTAGATCTCAACATATCCTTCTCCGCCGGCGCCCCTGCGTTCCGACCGCGGAATCACTGAAAAAAAAAACTCCGGCCGTGGGAGCCGCAATTACGGGCTATATAGATATACCGTCCGCTCCGGGCTCAAAGGCCGAAAATTCCGGCTGCTGGAGGCGTAGCTTCGATTGCTCCGGGTTCAGAGGCCGAAGCTGCGGTTCCAGCAGCCGGAATTTTCGGCCTCAGAGCCCGGAACGGACGGTATGTCTATATAGCCCGCAATTGCGGCTCCCACGACCGGAGTTTTTTTTTCCAGTGATGAAACAGGTGCATGGATGCACTCACCTTTTTCGACGGATGCAATTTACTCCTGACTGGAAGTTGAGAATTAGTCCAAAGCTTCCTGGCGCTGAATCCCGAAAATCACCGGCTACAAGCACAACAACACTAGAAACAACACAACAAGGGGCGACCGCGGGGTACGTGGGGGGTTCCTCGGGGGGCGCACAATCACTGGGCAAGAGGGGTAGCGCGCGCGATAAGGCGGGTAATTAGACACAGCGCGACACGAAAAATGAGCGGTTAATGAGAGTCATGGACGGGCGAGGCGCGGACAGAGTGGCCATGCGAGAGCGAGATGCCGACCGGTGGCGAGTCGAGTCGAGTGGAGTCGAGTGTTTGGGACCGGAGCTGGCTCGAAGCGCTCTCGAAGCCGCCGATTTTTGGAGAGGGGGGTCGAGTGTGTGGTCGGGGGACCGCGGGACCCAAGGGAGGAAACTACCTGTACCTGTTGCACCGCGCCGAGCCGCCGTCGCACTGTGGTACCCGAGCAATGTTTCAGAGGCATTGAATCAGGTTTCAATTCTCAAAACGCCCAGAATACGCACTGAAAAAAAAAAATCTCGGTGTATTTACTAAGGAAAGGGTAAAATTACCGAGAATTCAGGGTTCTATTTGATTCCAGTTTTTCCTTGGTAAGATTACCATTTATGGAATTGGTAATTTTACCGAGAAATCTCGGTAAAATTATTGAACATTCTCGGTAATTTTACTGGACCTTGGTAAAAACGCCAATATTTTTTATCGACTGTGGTACAGTTACCGAGATAAAATGGCAAAGTTACCGGGCATTGATTACCAATACAAGTGGTATTCTTACCGGAAAAAACAGTAAAAATACCGGTTTTCAGGTAAGCTTACCAGTCTATCTTGGTAAAATTACCGATAATTGGTAAAAAAAAAAGTGAGATGGTAATGGTACCAACGGACCTTGGTAAAAACGCCGAGAGTTTTTTTTTCAGTGCAGCCGTCCAAACTGCCGTACTGAGGAAAAACGCCGTATGAACCTTCAGGCATTGCCAAATTTCCGTTGGCGAATCAAGAATTTTCGGGAAAATTTTGAAACATTTTTCTTCCGATTTTTCAGATAATTTTGTTCGCAATTTTACCTAAAGGTCTTGAATATTTATGCGAAAAATATTCATAACTGTCCTCAAAAATTAGCTTTTTATCGAAGGGAATTTGGCAACTCTCGAATGTTCGTAAGGCGTTTTTCCATAGCACGGCAGCACAGGAAAACGCCGTATGAACATTCGAGAGTTGCCGCAAATTTCCTCCGATAAAATGTTAATTTTTGAGGAGCGCTATGAATATTTCTCCTTTGAATTTTCAGATACTGCAGATTAAATTGCAAACGGAATTCTGTGAAAAATTGGGGGAAAGTATCCACGAAATCTTGAATTTTCCAGAAGATTCGCAAATCTGAATTCTCAAAATGGCATGCTACAGTTAATTTAGAGTTTAGAAGGATGAATGGTCGTTGATCAGTCGGTAGTAGAACATTTTTTTCAATTAAACTGAAAACATTTAGAATTGAATTTCGGTATTTTTGCCGAGGACGGCGGAATAGAGGAGGTCGTCTTATTAGGGCCCAAACTGCATTTCCTTGGCTCTACAATTTATTGCTCATCGAGAGTCTACATTTTACGGAGTGCATCATGATTTGGTCATTTTTGATCTATTCCGAGTTTAATACGGGCCTAATCATTGGTCTGAAGGCCGTTTTCTTTTTAGAAAAATATGGGTTTTGCAGATTTGTACTCGAATACCAAAAAATTCCTATTTTTCGCGAAAATCGGCCTTCAGGTCCATGGTCAGGCCAGTAGATCCAAAAAGAGACCAGAAGTGACCAAATCATGATATATTCCGTCAAATATGGACCCACAATGAACAAAAACCGTAGAGTAGAGGACAAGTAGCTACGATGGGCCCAAAAACGGTTTCTATCGATACCCGACCTAATCATGACTCTGCAGGCCGATTTTGACGCGAATTTTTCAGCATTCTATCACAAATCCAAATTTTTTTGTCAACCTGGGATATCTGGTCCATGTTTAGGCCGGTATTAGACCCAAAAAGAGATCGAAAATTACCAAATCAAGATGCATTCCGTAAAATATGGACCCCAATGAGCAAAAGATTGTAGAGTTGAGGAAATCCAGGGTGGCCTCCTTTTAAGGGGTTTTTGGGGTCGCTTAGTTCAGATATTGCCGCTAGTCTTTAAAAAAATCACTTTTTCAAAATGACATTATTGCAAGTTACAGCTCCGAAGCGACACCGACTCGATGCCCACCGATAAACTTGTATTCCTGTAGATACAGGAGTCTTATCTACAGTATGTACAATCGTTCAACATCTTGAAATTTTTGTTCTTTTTTCGATGTATTGCCCTTTTAAATCGGACTATGGGACCATAGTGCGCCGCGTCGCACAATGCCGCAGTCATCACGCTGTTGCCATGTTGGTCCACCGCAATTCATACAAGTCTGTTCACCTGTTCGGTCTCGGAAAGGATAACCTAGAATAAAACGTAAAATAGAACTTATTCCATGCACCCTGGCTATGGCTGAGGTGGTTCCTGAATGTCGATTGTTGAGATCGAAAAATGCGTACCTATCTCCGATTGAGACGATGTAGAACTCTCCTCAATTATATTCATAGCAAAAAAAAATAATAGATAAAATTATAAATAAAAAACAGTAGTCTCTATTGTTTGTTGATGAATTTTCTTCCTGTTCAAAAATATAATCACTGGAAATTTCGAGTTACTCTTCTTTTGAATGAATAAAATATTCGCTCTTAATTTATTTCTGAGAAAGAAAACCTTCAAACGATTTCCGCAATTTTCATAGAGATCTGTGGAATTTCTTCACTTTCAAAAAAGTCATGGGCATTCAACATGATACTATGGTTAGTTTTCTTTAGGAAAAATTGAGCAAAATCGGATGTTTTTTAGGCTGAGATGGAGGTCCGCTGTTTTCAACTGATTCAACTATCGATATTTCACACGGGAAAGGGGACCTATGAGCCGTGGAGGTAAACCTGTTATTACAGCAAATTTTGAAAAGACTGGCCGGGAAACCCTTCCCGCTGTTTGAAAAATTAGTTATTAGCTGCTCTGCCATGCTAAGGAAAAACGCCGTATGAACCTCCAGGCGTTGCAAAATTTTCTTTGACAAAACACGAATTTCCTGGTAGACTTATGAATATTTTCTTTCCAATTTTTCAGATACTTTTGCTCGCAATTTCACCTAAAGTTTCCGAAAATTACATGGAAAAATATTCACAAATTCCCTCAAAAATGAACATTTTATCGAAGGCAATTTGGCAACTCTCGAATGTTCATACGGCATTCTTCCTTAACACGGCAGTAGCTGATATCATTTTTGCGCCTTTGAAAAGCTTAACGTCTCATCATCAAGCAGCACTTTTGTGTCCTGAATGCGGTCGGAACGTTTACACTAAAATTTGTTTCGATTTTCGGATGATTCCTTCACTTTCAATTTTCAGCGTGGGAAATCAAAACTCTGGGAGTGCAGGCTTTTACGTAGCCGAATGGTGGTATACCGTAAATGTGACGTCTATTCGGAAAACACAATGACACACTTTTACCGAGCGTATATAGAACCTTAATTTTAACACATCCGCAGTTCGCCTTCAATTTACAGTGTAGGCGAGACGAGCTCCCGCGTGATCGAATAGTGGTATCATCGTGAATTGGTGTGCTTGTACAGAACACGCACAAAAACTTGCTATTTACGGGGCAGGAGGAGGTTACTTTAACGCCATGTCAGTTCGCCTTCAATTTTGAGTGTAGGCAACACGAGCTCTCAAGTGATCGAATAGTGGTATCATCGTGAAATGACATGATTTTTCGGGCTATCGCGATATCAGTGAAAAGTCACTGCGAGTTTTGAGTAGCAGTTAGCGATCACTGTCCCTACTGGTGAGTAAAAAGTATCGCTCTGATTTTTTTTTCGGTTCCCTCTAAAAGTTAGTCGTAGAGAGTAAAATAGTGAAAGCGCCAAAACTGCAGTTTTCAAATGCGATAAAAATTATTGAATAAGTTCATGCACGGTCTTTCAAGTATTGCAGTAGGAAGCATCAAATTGCAAAGTTGTAGGAGGCAAAGCATTCTGCCGTGCTAAGGAAGAACGTCGTATGAACATTCGAGAGTTGCCAAATTTCCCGTGTTGAAACGTGTGTTTTTGACGACATTCAATGCATATGTGTGATTGAAATTTTTAGACATTTTAGATTAAATTGCGTAAAACATTTTCTGGAAATTTTGGAAGAATATATTTACAATTTTCCTATTAAATTCGGTTTTTATCGAAGGAAACTTGGCAACGTCTGAAGGTTCATACGACGTTCTTCTTTAGCACGGTAGCATGGTACCAAGATGTGTTCTGGCTTAAAGGAAATTGAAGGAAAAGCGGCAAAGAATATTGCGCAACCCCATACCGCCTCACCCATTAGGGGGGNGGGGGGGGGGGGGGTGTCTGAGCTTACATTACGGTGTCTTACGGCCCAGTTTGAGAAACAACTTATATCTTCCAATGAAAATCATATTCCTCAGATATTTTTCTAGGTGTCTCGTTCCGCAAACACGTAACTCAGAATTTCGTTTTTTTTTTATCAGAAATGTTTCCCCTACTTCTTTTTACACACAAAATATTCTATGCGGCGGATGATTGTGATTGTGACTAATTTAAACAAAAACGGCGAATAGATTCACCAGCGAGGAAGCACAATCTCAAAAGTCGGTATACTTATGTGCAATTTGTATTAAGGGCTATAAAGTAGGCACAAAGATTTTCTCAGAATATCGCGCGCTTCGAAAATAAAAAGCGCGACGGCCGTGACACACAAAAATGTTCCATGGAGTAATTTACCTTTTAAATCCTTCCAGAATTCTCTAAATTCCGAAAGTGACTGCTGTACGGTCATATTTTGATGTGAACACTTCACTCAACGGTATGGGACGTGTTGCAGGGATTTTGACTGCCCCTAGCGGCCATTTTGGCGAACCAAACCATCTGTGACGGTCGTATCGAAACTTCATGAACAGCATATTTTTGAAATATTTCGGGTGGAAAATTCAATTTTTAAAAATGAAATGCAATGTTTATTCCACTTTGTAAATTTATTTTTGATGAAATTAGTACAAAAATCAGAAAAATTTATCAGACAAAAAAAAAGTCATGAGGCTGTATACATTGCAACCTACGAATCATGGTTGTGACGGTCGTGACATTTTAAGCAGTAAAAGCTGAAAATGAAGCTTAATATATCGACATACACGGTTTTAACTGTGATAAT